GGCAGTTTTGCTATAAGATGTGTATAAGAAGGGGCTTTGGGAGGGGGAGAAGAGAGACTTTTGCTGAGTACAGAACTCTGAGAGTGCTTGGGAGAACCGGCGGTCTCTCGTAGAACTGACCTACTGTAAGTGATCCTCTTTTCCTCTGAATGAATATCAGTTCCCTGCTGAAGTACTAGTGGTTTGGATTCTACTGTGAGTCTGTGAACTGCGTGTCACATTTCTGGGACATATCACTGGTATCAGAGCACGTCTTTCCTCGGCCATGGTGACAGCTAAGGAAGTGGCATCGCAGGTGGAGGGTTTCGAAGAACGCTTGACTTCTCTGCATTCTGAAGTGGATGGCTTGCGTGATGAGATGACAGCTGGACTGTCGAAGATCACATCCCTGGAAGGAGGTGTTCAAAACTTGGTAAGGCGTTTTGATCTGTTGCTGCAGCAACAGTCCTTGTCAGCTCCTTTGTCTACAATTGACAATGTTCCTCCTATATCCGCATCAAGTCGTGCGGCTGACAAAGGGAAGGGTGCAGCTTTCGACAGTCCCGGAACATACTTCTGATTCACTTCCTCGGAAGTTGGAGCTGCCTATTTTTTATGGGGAAAATCCAGACGGCTGGCTTTTTCGCGCAGAGCGCTATTTTGAGATTAATGGCTTGCTTCCGGCGGAACGTCTGCGAGCAGCGGTGGTCTATTTAGAGGGTGATGCACTGGCGTGGTATTATTGGGAGGATGGTCGGCAACCCTTTCATAGCTGGGCAGAATTCAAGGAACTCCTCCTTGAACATTTCCGATCAACTCAGGAGGGAAACTTGCAGGAGCAGCTTCTATCATTACGTCAATCCACTACTTTCAAGGAATATCGTCGCCATTTCGAGGTGCTTTCTGCCCCCTTACGTGACCTACTAGAATCAGTCCTTGAAGCAGCCTTTGTGAATGGGTTGCACCCAGATATCCAGGCCAAACTCCAACAGATGGAACCCGTTGGGCTGATTAGAAAAATGGTTGCAGCCCAGAAAATTGAGGAAAAGAATCAGGCCTTATGGGCCTATCAATCCAGTTCATATCCTCGTGGGCCCGCGACGTCCCTCTCTGGAACCCACTTTAACTCATAGGTTTCACAAGTGACTACTTCTGCTGTCACCCGACCTACACGAGCCGCAATCCCTCCTTCTCCTGCACCAGCCCCTATTGTTAAGGCCCCACCTCCTGCTTTCAAAAAGATGACCGACAAAGAGATGCAGCAGAAACGAGCGAAGGGTCTATGCTTCTGTTGCAACGAGAAATACAGCCCAGGACATCGTTGTGCTCAGAAATCACTTCAGGTTTTATGGGTTCAAGATGACGTGGAGGAACTTGATTCTGATTTGGACTGCACTTCCAAGGACACTGAAATTGCTCCGGCTCCAGAATCAGCCGCACTTTGTGTCTCGTCTCTTGTTGGGTTGTGTGCGGCAAATTCCCTTAAGGTGCGTGGACGCATTTTGTCACGTGAGGTGGTCATATTGGTAGACTCGGGTGCATCCCACAACTTTATCTCCGCAACTTTAGTGGAAGAATTRAAATTACCCCGCACCCCTACACACGAATTTGGAGTTCATATGGGAAATGGTGATGAGGTGAGAACTTCCGGAGTCTACCGTCAAGTTTGCCTCAACTTACCCGAATTGGATGTCATTGCTGATTTCTTTCCCTTAAAGTTGGGTTCTACGGATGTCATTCTCGGTTTTCCTTGGTTAGCATCCCTCGGGGACTCAGTGATGAATTGGGGCAACATGTCTATGAAGCTCAATTTGGGAAGTGTCCGGGTAAAGTTGCAGGGCGACCCTTCTCTCTGTTCATCTCAGGTATCCTTGCATGCCATGATGCACAACTTACAACATGAGGGACAAGGGGTTTTGATAGAATTAAAACAATTGCAGATAGTGGATCCTCCGCTGAACTCTGTTTTGCCTACATCCCCGCCAACCTCCGCCTTATTAGATGAGTTCAAAGATATTTTTGGCATACCTATGGGCTTACCCCCTACACGGGCTACGGAACATGCTATTGTCTTACAGGAAGGCACTTCTCCTATCTCTGTTCGTCCTTATAGATATCCTCAATTCCAAAAAGATGAGATTGAACGTCTTGTCTCTGAGATGCTGGCTGCAGGTATTATTCAGCCAAGTACAAGCCCCTACTTGAGCCCGGTCCTTTTAGTCAAAAAGAAAGACGGAAGTTGGCATTTTTGTGTGGATTACAGAGCCCTTAACCGTGCTACGGTTCCGGATAAGTTCCCCATTCCAGTCACCGAAGAACTTCTCGATGAGCTCCATGGTGCTTCTATTTTCAGCAAAATTGATCTTAATTCGGGCTACCACCAAATTCAAGTCCGCAGTGAGGACATTCCCAAGACTGCATTTCGCACCCACGAGGGCCATTACGAATTCCTTGTCATGCCCTTCGGTCTCACCAATGCACCCTCGACCTTCCAGTCATTAATGAATACTGTATTCCATGATTTCCTCCGTCGCTTTGTGCTAGTATTTTTTTATGATATTTTGGTTTACAATACTTCCGAAGCTGCCCATTCGGATCACCTCCGACAGGTCTTCTCTATGTTGTGCGCCCACCGTCTCTTTGCCAACTCAAAGAAATGTATCTTTGCTCAGCCTAGCATTGAGTACCTGGGTCATATTATTAGCGTGGCTGGTGTTTCTGCCAATCCTTCTAAAATCCAAACCATGGTTGACTGGCCTCAACCATCTTCACTTAAAGCTCTTCGCGGTTTTTTGGGACTTACAGGCTATTATCGCCGTTTTGTGCGTAACTATAGTAAAAAAGCATGGCCATTGACGCAACAACTTAAAAAGGATGCTTTCTCATGGAATGCAGAGGCTGAGAATGTATTTCAGGAGTTGAAACGGGCTATGACGACCATACCAGTGTTGGCCCTTCCAGATTTTTCCCAGCCTTCTTGATCGAGACAGATGCATCCGGGGTAGGACTTGGGGTGGTATTAATGCAGAATAATCAGCCTATAGCTTTTTATAGCCACAAGCTTAGCCCGAAGGCACAGTCAAAATCTATCTACGAGAGGGAATTGATGGCCATTGTCTTCGCTATTAAAAAGTGGCGTCCCTATCTTCTTGGAAGACGCTTTATTGTTCGGACCGACCAGCGAAGTCTCGAGTATCTATTGGAGCAGCGGATTGTCGAAGGTGAGCATCATAAGTGGCTTCTTAAGCTTATGAATTATGATTTCGAGATTCAGTACAAACCGGGTGCCGATAATACCGTGGCTGACGCCCTATCCAGAGTTCCTGCCGAAATGCACTTAAACTCACTTACAATACCTGTTTTTCTTGATTTTGATGACCTTAAGGAGCAAGTTGATGATGATCCTTTTCTGGCCAACATCAAGCATACCATACAGCAGAATCCAGTTGCCTATCCCACCTATTCTTTAGTTGGAGAACACCTACGTTATCATGGTAAATTGGTTCTGCCAACTTCTTCCCCATTTATCCCCCTCTTGCTTAAGGAGTTTCATTCGGGAGTTGTAGGAGGGCACGCGGGTATCCGCCGGACATATAGGCGCATAGCAGCTGAATTTTATTGGCGGGGGATAAGGCGTTCTGTCCAAGAGTTTGTGCAGGCCTGCGATGTGTGTCAACACAGTAAATATGAAGCCATGTCCCCTACTAGCCTTTTACAACCTTTACCCGTACCTGAACAGATCTGGGAAGATATTGTCATGGACTTTATTGAGGCTCTTCCTAAATCAAAGGGGTTTGATACAATTATGGTGGTGGTCGATCGTCTCTCCAAGTATGCCCATTTTATCCCTCTCAGTCATCCCTTCTCAGCTCTCACGGTTGCTCAGGCCTTCCTGCACAACATAGTCCGTTTACATGGCATTCCCCACTCGATTGTATCTGATCATGATAAGGTCTTTATGAGCTTCTTCTGGCGCGAGCTTTTTACCCTGCAGAGTTCAGAATTGCGTCATAGCTCAACATACCATCCTCAGACAGATGGACAGTCGGAGGTGGTTAATCGCTGTTTGGAGACTTATTTGAGGTGCTTTGCGGCTGATTCCCCCTCCCGCTGGTCTTCTTGGATATCGTGGGCAAAAAACAGCTATAATACCTCTTTTCACACTGCTGCGGGCATGACACCTTTCAAGGTGGTCTATGGGCATGATCCTCCTCCATTAATCCGCTATGAGCTTGGCTCTACGGCTAATGCTGATGTTGAAATTGTTCTCCTTCAGCGAGATGCTATACTTAGGGAGTTGTGTGCTCATCTACACCGGGCACAACAAAAGATGAAAGACTCGACTGATGTGAACCGCTGTGATGTTAATTTTGAGGTTGGGGATTCGGTGTATGTACGAGTGCGACCTTATCGCCAGCAGTCTCTAGCTCGCCGAGCCAATGAAAAGCTTGCCCCTCGATTTTATGGACCATTTTCTATTGTGGAAAGAATTGGTGCTGTCGCTTATAAACTTCAACTTCCTCCAGAGGCAAGGATTCACCTTGTTTTTCATGTCCCGCAACTCAAGAAGGCAATTGGCAATCATATCTCTTCTCCCGTGATTCCTTCCACTCTGTCAGCTGATATGGAAATGCTGGTGGAACCTGCAGCCATTCGGGGGGTGCGCCCATCCACTTTGCCTAGAGTTACTGGTTCAGAAGTGCTTATCCATTGGCAGGACCTGCCTGATTTTGAAGATTCATGGGAGCCTTTTGACTTACTTCGTGACCAATTTCCTCATTTCAACCTTGAGGACAAGGTTAGACTTTGGGCGGCGGGTAATGATAGGCCCCCAATTAATTTTACATACACTAGGAAGGGGAAAGGTCAGTTGGCGGCCAGGGGGGGAAATAACTGAACATGGGGGAATTTATGGCTGGAGGGAATAAGGAGAGTTTTTATGGCATTTATAGCTTGTCAGTTGAGAATAGGAAGAGTATAGGGCATTTAGCGTTTATAGCTTGTTAGTGGGAATAAGAAGAGTGGGGCATTTATATTTCGGCCAGCTAGGCATTTATTATGGAAGGCAGTTTTGCTATAAGATGTGTATAAGAAGGGGCTTTGGGAGGGGGAGAAGAGAGACTTTTGCTGAGTACAGAACTCTGAGAGTGCTTGGGAGAGCCGGCGGTCTCTCGAAGAACCGACCTACTGTAAGTGATCCTCTTTTCCTCTGAATGAATATCAGTTCCCTGCTGAAGTACTAGTGGTTTGGATTCTGCTGTGAGTCTGTGAACTGCGTGTCACATTTCTGGGACATCAGGAGATTAATGAATGACTTCTCCAAAAGCTTGGCAATATTCCTATTCCTATTTTTCTGGAAGAAAGGGGTGAATTAGCTTAAACAGAAAATATTCATTCAGATCCTTGGCAATTAAGACATGTCATAAGGGAAGTGAGAAGTCTAGCTAGGGGACTCAATGCATCCTTGGATCCCTAGGCAAGGGTTGAGCAGAAATCAGTTGTATTGGGACTTGTCAACCTAGAAAGCAGGATTTCTTGAGTGTAAAACAGGAAGGATTAGGTGGCAATGCTGTCCTAAATACTTCCTCTTTGTAATTATATTCATTCTTTTACGCATATTTAATAAAATTAAACAGTTAACAATCATATAAAAACAAAAGAAAATATCTTTTTTGTGCTCTTGATAGAAGAGTAATTGATATAAAAACTGATTTGATTTGGAATAGATTTCCATTATATTATTAAGACCATTTTAATATTAAGGAATTCATGTGGTTTATTTTCCAATGACAAGGTCCATATGGTTAATCAATTAAATTTTATAGTACTGAAAGCTGGAACAAATGTTTAAGTTCAAAGCAGTCAGAAAAATTATTTCTTTTTGCCAACAGACTTCAATCCCTGTTAAGTTTTTTCCTCTCTCTTTTATACTCTCATTAATCTTATCCCTCCTTGGTCTGAGGTGTTATCCTATCTTGGCCTTTGATGCTGGTGGCTTTATGTGCTCCACATACCATTGAATAAATAATTTGATTACTCATCATAAGAATAAACACACATCCACAAAAAAGGACTTTCACAATACAGATTCTACTAATGACTCACATTAAAAAATTCACTGAGAGGAGTATCCTTGTGAGATTGAGGCTTAGAGACATTATCCCATATCTGCATACATGATTACCACAACAACGTGAAATAAGTTATAAAAGTTGCAGATAAACAAATATTAACATAAGGAAATATTACAAAAACCACCTTCTGAATATCTTCTCTTAGGACTGGCTCTAAATTCTCAAGTGGAGTCTACAGGATAAAAATGAACAGGTTAAACATTGAAATGGAGACCATAATCTTCATTTCATACTTAAAATACAAGCTGGAAGAGAGGCTACTCTATTGGGTTACAGACCCTTGTTTTATCACGAATAATGAACAGCAGTGTTGTTTTGCGAGGACTAAATAAGCGCATCATGACCTATAATACAAGAAAAGGAATAAAAAGAAAGCAAGATTGTTATAGATAACCAGCGCATAATGGACTATTGATCCATAACAGAGAAACAATATATGAGCACCTGAAAAACTGTTTTAAGAAGTGGTTTATTGGCAGCCTGCTCCCGACCAATATCATGACACCACCTAGAAGAGTATAACTTATGTAAACCGACTGAAAAACCAGTTCAGAAGAATAAATAGAAAAACATGTGGGGGATGTGAACTTACATGTTTATCAGTACAATATCTGAAATTGCCAAAGCAAATAGGGAACTCTGTTTTTCAAAGGCAGTATCATCCTGAAATTGAAAAGAATAATATATTGTTCACTCAAAAGTTTGCAAAAGCATATAAATCCTTTTAAATGATTGGGTTATCAAGAAAAACATTTTAAATGAATTACGTAACTAGAACAAATAAAAAGCAAAACATAATTCAAAAGAAACAACTAGAATCATCCTTCACTCAAGATGGGATGACATGTATTTGATAGGAAAAAACAATTATGTTGGTATATATTTACAAAATATAAGAAAGTACTGTCAGAAGCAGCAAGAGAGAGATAGAGAAAGGAGAGGAAGGGAGGATCACCTATACAGGTTTCTCTAGAATGAATGACATAAACCAGAAAAAGAATATTTATATTAAGTGAATGAACAGGCCATTCTGTCCACTCATAAAAGAATTAAGCACAAATATTATACAGATGATCTATACAAAGTATGATACAATGGTGTTTCCAAGTTACAAATAAAAGTAAAAAACAGTAGTTTCCCTCATCTCTAGTATATTCTTGACACTCCCCCTCAAACTAATGCCAAGGAACAAGCATCAGTTTTTTTAGGAGAAAAGTATGTCTGGATCTTGTCATAGCTTTGGTGAACAAGTCTGCTACCTAAATTCCTGAAAACACACGAGGAAGTGTAATATGACCCATACGAGATAAATCTCTTATAAAGTGGTAATCCACATCAATATGATTTGTGCACTCATGGCAAACTAGATTGGAAGCAATCTTGACAACCCTGAGATTGTTAGCAAAGACAAGTACTTATATGTTTGGGACTTTGATGTAGAAAGACTCTTATGTCCCTAATTAAGTATGGGACACATAACTTAAACTAAGATAGAAGAACAATGCAACTTCTAATAACAGAGTAGAAAGCCTAAAATATTCTCTTGGCTGCTGACTCTAACACTCCCCCTCAAGCTGGTGAGTATATATCATATAATCCTAACTTGTTACATATATAATCCACTCTTTCTCGATTCAATCCTTTTGTAAACAAATCACTCTTTCTATTAGAGACTGAGCCAGCCAATCAGCATCTATGTAACCTTCTATCTCAAGACCACCTCCAGTCTTGTATAACAAACCACGACCTAGGGTTCCCTTCAAATATTGCACAAACTTTAGAACTACACCCCAGTGTGGGATATGAGGATTCTCCACAAATCGGCTTACCACGCTAACCACAAATTATATACTTGGCTGAGTAATCGCCAGGTACATTTACTTACCTACTAACCTTTTGCACCTCCCAGGATCTTCAAACTCTTCACCTACATCAATACCTAATTTGACATTTGGTTCCATGGGTGTTTCAACTAGTTTGGCACCCAACAGTCCTATCTCCTCTAGCAACTCAAGAACATGCTTTCTTTGGCACAAGTTAATACCATGCTTCGACCTTGCAATTTCTAATCCCAAGAAATACTTTAGCTTACCAAGATCTTTTGTTTGAAAATGATAATGTAAAAAAGCCTTCAGTTTGTCAATCCCCATACTATCACTACCAATTATGGCAATATCATCAATATAAACCACCAACAAAATCTTCCTAGCTTCAGACTCATAGTTGAATATTGAGTGGTCAACTTGACACTACTTCATACCAAAGTCTTTTACTACTTCACCGAACCTACAAAACCAAGCACATTGAGATTGTTCCAGCCCGTAGATTGCCTTCTTACACACCTTACCATCCCCCCTGGAGCAACAAACCCTGGTGGTTGCTCCATATACACCTCCTCAAGAAGATCACCATGTAAGAAGGTGTTTTTTATGTCAAGACAAAATAGGGACCAATTATACATTATTGCTAAAGATATCAGAACCCAACTAGATCAATCTTGGCAACTGGAGAGAAAGTTTTTGTATAGTCGACTGTAAACAACTGTGAGTAACCATTAGAAACCAATCGGGCCTTCAACCTTTCTATTCTGCCATCTGGTAAGTACTTCACAATGTACACCCACTTACGTCCTACAACATGCCCATGTCTATCCTTGGAAGTCAGTTACCTTTCTCAGTCTTGTTTCCTACTCTTATCTCCATTCCTTCTTACTCCCAGAGTTTTTAGTTGTGTCTATTTTGTTGATAATTTAGGACTTGGACTAGATAAGTTAGACACACGTGCTACAAAATGCATCTTTCTTGGCTATTCCAGAACCCAAAAAAGGTATAAATGTTACAACCCTAGCTCCCATCGTTCTTTGAATCTTTCCCATTCCTTACCAATTCTGATGTTCCTCCTCCTCCTCCTGTGCTTCCTCTTCCGGTTCCAATTGAAGACCCCATTCCTACAGTTCATGTTGTGTCTCAATTGTCGTCTTCTCCAATGCAAGTTAATACAAAAAGGCCACCAATCACGCAAGTGTATACTCATAGAATGGCACTAGGTCCTCCAATTCATTCCTCATCAACAGAATTAGTAGTTGTGACCCCTCCTTTTGATCTTGATCTTCCCATTGCATTGTGAAAAGATAAACGTAGTTGTACTTCTCATCCTATTTCCCATTATGTTTTTATTGCTTACCTTTCCACTTCCCATCAATAGTTTATATCTCTATTATCTTTTGTTTCCATTCCTAAGAATGTCCAAGAAGCCATTACCTCTCCAGGGTGGCGCCAAGCAATGGAAAACGAATTGTCTACACTGGCACACAATCACACGTGGGAGCTTACCACTCTCCCTCCTAGTAAACATGTTGTAGGATGTAAGTGGGTGTATACAATGAAATATCTCCTAGACAGTAGTGTGGAACAATTGAAGGTTTGGTTAGTAAAAAGGCTACTCTCAGTTGTATGGTGTTGATTACACGGAAACTTTTTCTCCCATGGCTAAGATTGGTTTAGATCGGATGTTGATCTCTCTAGCAACAATGTATGATTGGCCCCTCTTTCAGCTTGACATTAAAAATGCCTTCTTTCATGGTGATATCCTTGAGGAGGTATATATGGAGAAACCACCAGGGTTTGTTGCTTAGGGGGAGGATGGTAAGGTTTGCAAACTTAAGAAGGAAATCTTTGGGTTGAAACAGTCTCCACATGTGGTTTGGCAAATTTAGTGTAGTAAGGGAGTTTAGCATGAAATAGTGCAAGGTAGACCATTCTGTGTTCTGCTATGAATCGAAGGCTAGAAAGATTTTGTTAGTGGTGTATGTAGATGACATTGTCATTAACTAGTAGTTCTAAAAATGGGATTGATAGGTTGAAGACTTTTCTGCATGATCACTTTCAAACAATAGACACGGGTAAGCTGAAATATTTTTTGGAAATAGAAGTTGCAAGATCAAGACATGGTATTAACTTGTGCCAAAGAAAGTATGTCCTTGATTTGCTCGAAGAAACAGGGTTGTTAGGTGCTACAGCGGCTGAAACACCTATGGAATCAAATGTCAAGTTGAGTACTAATGCAAGTGAAAAGTTTGAAGATCCTAGGAGGTACAGGAGATTGGTGGGTAAGTTGAACTACCTGACTATTACTCGGCTAGATTTATCATTTGTAATATGGTGAGTCAATTTATGTAGCATCCTCAGGTTCCACATTGGGATGCAGTTTTAAGGATTATTAGATACTTGAATGGAGTTCCAGGTCGTGGACTGTTATACAAGAATAGGGGAACACTTGAGATAGAGGGGTATACAAATGCTGATTGGGCTGGATCTGTTTCTAATAGGAGATCCACTACAGGGTATTGTACCTTCCTTGGGAGAAATCTGGTGACTTGGAAGAGCAAGAAACAAACTATAGTAGCAAGAAGTAGTGCTGAAGCTGAATACAGGGGCCATGGCACATACTACATGTGAACTAGTGTGGCTGAAAAACCTTTTGCAGGAGATGGGGTTTTCAATTGACAAGCCTATGAAGTTGTACTATTATAACCAAGACACAGTCCACATCTCTTCTAACCCAGTTTTTCATGAGAGAACAAAACATATTGAAGTTGATTACCACTTTGTAAGAGAAAAGGTGATCAATGGAGTGATAAGTACAACACTTGTAAGGTCAGGAAACCAGTGGACAGATTTGTTTACAAAAGGGTTGAGTCAGGGGAGAGTGTATTACATATGTACCAGGCTAGGATTATATGATATATACTCTCCAACTTGAGGGGGAATGTTAGAGTTGACAATATAAGGGTAGTTTAGTCATTTTTCATTTAATTAAAGGTGAGTTGTCTATTTTGTCTTTGTTTAAGTTGTGTGTTCCATACTTAATGAGAGACAAAGTTGTCTTTTGCGTTCTAATGCATAGACTATAAATAAAAGGTGGGTCGGCTAAGAGTGTGAGATTCTACTCTCTGGCCAAATCCTTTCTTTCTCTTCTTCTTCTTCTTCTCTTTTTATTTCTTACGTCAAACCTAGCACTGAACTAGTGTAATCAAACCATTAACAACCACACAAAGCATATTGAGGTTGACAGACACTTCATCAGAGAGAGAGAATAGCCAATGGAGAAATATGTCTCTTTTGTTAAGTCATAAGATCAACTTGTTGATTGCTTCACCTAGGTAAGCTAGGCATCATAGAAATCTATGCTCAGCTTGTGGGTGAGTGTTGAGAATATATATTGTGGGCAAGGTTATTTCAGTTATTCTATATTATTTGTATTTGGGCACCCATTCAAGGGCTTTTATGTAAATTTCATCTTTATATAAAAGGTTTTTGTGGGGTGTGAATAGTAACTCACCCTTTCTCTTAAAACCCTCTTCCTCTTCTTCTCTTCTTCTCTCCCTTCTTCCTCCCTCACTTTTACATCTTACAACTAAATAAAACAAGATACAATGACCACAATACCTGCTGCCTAAAGAATAAAGAAAACAACAGTAATAATAGGAAAACAACAATTAAATAATATGGGACCACTATAAATTAAGTCTAATCTACTGTATATTGGCAAAAGAGATTTAAGAGAGAATGAATTTGACTTATTGACCAGTCTCTTGAAAATCCTTGATAAATAGTGGTTGGACCCTTCCATTTCACTTGCGCTTCCTTTTTCTCTTCTTTGTGCTATTCTCCTTTCTACCAGTTCTCATTCCAAGGAAACTTGGTAGAAACCTATCCCCCCTAAAGTTAGCGCTTTTTGTTAGGAGGTATTCAATGGGAAGTTTAATACAGTTACCAAGACAAATGAATTTTGACATGTTGATCTTGTGGCTGGTCCAAACCATCTACCAGTGGATCCCCCATTTGGTAGATGGTTTGGATCAGCCACAAGATCCCTCCACATAGCAAAAACAGGTGGAGTTTGCAAGGAAGCTCCCTATTTACCTCTCTTCCTTTTTTCCATTGAAAATTCATACTTTAGATCAGAAAACTTACTAAACAAGACTCAAGAAACCGTGGTACTCTTGGCACTTCAGATTTGTTTGAAAGGAGAGAAAGACTGTAGCAGATGGTCTTGAAATTCTGGACTAGGGATTTTTTTCGTATAGCGTCAACTACACTCTGACATAGTTGTTGTTTTGGGGAGAGCTGATCATCCATATCTTGTGCATCAGTGTTTATCCCCTCATGTACTCTCTGGTTTTCAATATATTATACCTACATGTTGCCTTCTCCCATAAAAATATCAAGCAACCATACTTCTGATAAAAACAAGCCACATCAGCCTACCTCATCTTCAATTGAGGGAGGCCCTTGGAACCTCAAATTTCTACTACAGAAGGTCAACGTTTTGGCTACTCTCTTGAACTGCTTGCTTAGGTTGACCATAAGGTGAGGAAACGCTTGACCAGACTCCCGCACTAAAGCTGTTGTAGGAAGAATTTACTTCCCAGGGAAGCACCAGAATGAGAGGTACTTCATTAGGGCCTAGACCATTAGTTTATTTAAGAGATGTCAGCTATTGCTGTTTTGTATTGACATCATATTATTTCTGCTTTGTCCTCAGTAAACGACACTTTTGCAGCAGGGATTTTAGAACAAATAACACTCTTTTGATCATCATTGATCCTACCTCATGTACCACAAACATGCAGTGAACAAGATCTACATTATGAAGTTTCTCTTTAACAGTTACTGTTTTTATGGAATTTGAATGAAATGGTGTCAATAATAGATACTTGGTTTAATGTTTTCATTTCAAGGATGAAGCATATAAACAGCATTTTACCTGTCAGAAGATACAGCAGTAATAGAGCTGACATCATATTTAAGGTAAAACTAAACAACCACCACTTCGACAAGTAATGAGATACATCACCTCCCCTCTTTCTCTACCATCAGTACCCTCCAAATCCATGGCAATTGTGCAAGGTTCAATACCGATACACTTTGCCATCCATATGCCCTTAGTAGTCTGACTCCTGCAAGAAAATGACATTATATTGCATGTCTCATGTTTCCAGTCAATGGCCATTGAAATCAAAAAGTAGATCTACATTTTCAAACACTGAAAAAGTACAAGTCCTACCTTCCCTTGAAAGCGTCCATCTCCCTGAAATTGGTATGGAAAAGATGGTTCATTAGAGTGCTTTTACCTGAGAAAACGGGTGAAAAAGTAGCATCAAGACAAAAATGACAAAAAACAATGATACCCTGCTTATAAAGAAACAATGTTCCTAATGTTTGACAGGGATCAGAGCTGCAGTTTTAAAGACAGGTTGAACAAGAAAATACCATAGGGAAAACCATGGTGGCTCCCACATGAAACCAGTGGAAACCACTAATACCATCATCCCAGACCTACGCTGCATTTTCTTGAACAGAAAGTTTCTATTTTTCTATGATTTATGTTAATTTTCAGATTGTTTGAGGTAGTTGGGCCATTGAAACTGGATACTTTTGTATTTGACATTGTTCATAATGTCCATATGATCAGAAACAGAAAAAGAAGAGAATATATATGATTGTATGGGTCCTAGATTTGATCAAAGTAGGAAATTCTTTAATCTCAATTTAATAAGATTAGGACTGTTCAGTAGGGATAAATGTCCCATGCTTTATATGTGTATTCACCAGCTTTGAAGTTAGTAAAATCCAAGTTCTTTTCTCCCATTGTCTCCTATGAATCTGCTGGGGTTGACATCATTGTGGCAGGGGGTTGATGAATTCAAGCCAATGCTATATAGCTATTCATCAGTGATGATTCCAGCAGGCTGTCTACTCTATTTTCTCTTTTCTACCTTTTATTGTATCATCTTTGGTTTAGAATTTCCAGCTGTTGTCTTTTTATATCTTCGAGAGTAAAAGAGTTCACTTCAAATCCTAACTGACCATCAGCAATTAGCCAACAACTAGTAGGGCCCTTTCTTCCTTCCATAAAATTCATCAAACAGAACTTTCTACAACCCTAGTTTACCCATTTTAACAACTGATTTAGGGAAGCACAATGCACCTTGATATTGCAAAGTTCAGACCTTAAACCTCACATAGTATAATCAACCTAGCCTAACCAGTATCAACTAACGTCAGCCCCAAACTGACCCAATCAACCTAAGGAAAAGCCAAACTACCACCAATGAAAAATGACTCAGTTTTAATCACCTCAGGTGCTACACCAATGATAGACCTTCTGGAGACATGCCACAATGTGCACATCAACATGTGATCATTGACATGTCTACTTGGTGTAACCTGATCACTGGTGGATGCATTAATATTTGGCTGTTATTTAATGTTCAAATAAGTCTTAGTAGTGGTGGAACCAAGAAAAATAAATGTCTTAGTAACAGTGGCAGACTTTTTACATGGATAATAGGTTTTAGTCCCTGTTTGGTATCACTCAAAATAAGCACTTATTAAAATTAGTACTTAAAATAAGTGGTGGGACCCCACAATAAGTAGAAAATAAGTACTTATCCATAGAAAATCCCAGAATAAGTACTTAGTTTGAAAATAAATGCTTAAAAAAAAGCAGCCCTAGGCCAGGTTATTTTAATTGCATATAGAATGAGTGCTTCTTTTTTGGTGGGACAAAACTGTCCCCCAAAAAATTTGAAATACCCACATTACCCCCTCTATATTGTCTTCTCCATTCCTGCGAACCAAAGGTGGCAGCGGTGAACCCAGGCGGAGGCTACGAGCAACCAGGGAGAATTTCACAGTTCTTGTAAGTGAAATCCCCCACTTCTTTAATTTCTCACCGTTTTGGGGATGAAACTCTGGTGTGGTGGGTTCTTACCCATTTTTCTGCCATTTTCTCCTAGACTTGAGTTTGGGAAAGAGGCAAATACAGTTACTCAGTTAGCCAGCGGTGGTTCTTCGGTGGTGAGTTCTATGCTATTTTTTTCTTATTTTTTCCTTTTTGTTTATATATATAAAATTGACTCTATGCTATTCCCAGCAATGATTTTGGACAAAAATGTTAAAATTCAGTTGTTATTTCTATTACTATTATGATTATTATTATTACAAGAAATCAGTTTTTCAGTTATTTATTGTACTTTCTTATATAAAATCAATTATTTAATAGTGCAACATGTGTGACACATGGGCCCATGTGTGTTGGGAGGGTTAGAATTGTCATTTTCATCGAAATGGTTCAATATAATACTCATAAAATAACATATGTATGTTAATTTAGGGTTATAATTGTCATTTCTGCAAAATAAGTACTTATTGACTAAGTGGCTCACCAAACACTGTATCCAAATAAGTACTTAAAATAAGTGTAAGTGGTTTGGGAAAGGTCCTCCCAAAAACTAATAAGTACTTATTTCTCAAACTACTTATTTGCCAAACATACCCTTAGTCTTGGAATATTGTATAGTTTTTCTCCTTCCTTTTTTTTCATTTTATTAGATAGGTAATAAATAATGCATTCATTGATACCAAGAAAAAAATATAAAGGTAGTACAATCATCAAGATCCAAGTAAGTGGTGCCTGATCCTATTTAGCAGGGCAACCCAAAAATATAGTAACATGCTAATACACCAAAGGTATAAAGAACAGCTAAGTAGGGAAGCTGGGCCCTCAATACATCTCAGATCGTCCAACACCACCCCATTCCAGTGTATTAACCAGTGTTCACTGATCTCTTAACCTAATGGAATGAGTTCACTGTAAATATAAGATCTAAAGCCTCTCTAATGTGATGACTGAATGTCCACAGTCCATCCACCACATCTGTAAACCAGCCTACAATTACCTGTTAGTCTCCCACTCATAGTTGTTAAAATCTTACAATTTACATTACAATAAGATTCACAATTCAAATCATGAATGCAAGGTGTTCCAATTCAAAAATTATGACTGAATCCTTTTCTAATAAAAAGAAATCCTACTGTTCCTTTTTGAATACAACTTGCCTGATTCATGTAATTCAAATTAATTCAATTAGAACCTAGTTCTTTACCTTGTCTAATGCAGTTACTAAGATGTAGCTACTGTTAAGGTGTAACAAACAAAGTTGATGAGTAGCCCTACTGTACAGTCCACCAAGCAGTCCCTAAACTACTTGTTCATGGAAGAGGGGGTTGAGTTCTAGCAGTATCAAAACCACTAGGATCTGAAGAATCTGACAGAAACCAGAGCTGATATCTTCTGGTTCTTGTGCAAGAAAACAGAGAAGAGAAGAGCAGGAAAATAACTAAACTATCTTTATTCCTTCCAAAAAAAAAAATTCTGCCTTACAATCTTTTCTAGCTATCTTAGATAGACCTTACATATTTTGACTTGGAAAACTACTACGAAATCAATATTAGGAAGACTCATAAATTGCTGAAAAAAAACTCTAATGATAAGAACCCTAAACTGACAAATAAATCCAATAAGAAGAAACCTATACTGACAAATAAATCTTATAACAAGAATCCTAAATTGGCACCCAAAAGGGATTGTTCAAAAATAAAAAATAAAATAAAAAAAAACAAAGATATCATGGGACCCACTTGGTTTAACTAACAGGGATGCCTTAGGGATGGTCCTGTTGTTTAAAGAACAGACTTGTGGCCTATTTGGGGTCTGATGGAGGTGGATGGGCTGCAACTGGTTATTTTGGGTGTCACAGGTTGATGCTCTGCATCAGTCACCCCCTCTTGAAAAGAACTCGTTCTTGAGTTCAATGAACCATGCTTGCCATAATAGGGTGAAAGATAATGTGCATTAAAAGTGTTGCTATTTTTCAATCAGTTCATGTTAGAGGCCAGCTACACTTTGTAAGTATTATCATTAATCTAAGCAATAATCTTGCAAGGTCCAATCTTCTTTAGACTTATCTTATGATACTCGCCACTTGGGTATCTTTCATTTGGAAGATATACCCACACTTCACCACCAGCTTCATAGACAAGCTAGTGACAATGTCAATCAACTTGTGCCTCATATTTTGAAAAACTAGCTTCAATATTGACACGAACCTGCTTTTGAATGCTCAATTCTTTTGTCTTCTTATCTTTTTCCAACAACTGGAATAAGAACAATATCAAGTGCTTGTAGAGGATTTCAACAATGTAGCACTTGGAAGGGAGAAAATCCAATTGTTCTATTTGTAGAACTATTAAATTCAAACTCTATCATAGGCAACACCAGATCCCAGTTTCTTGTAGATATGTCCCAATGTTATCACCTCTGTTAGAATTAGCCGGGTGAGGGGTAGATTAGTCTTTTCAGTCAGTTTAAGTTATGTGCTTATGTGGCAGTTCTAATTAGACTTCCTATCCCATACTTAAGTGGGGGCAGTTTAGTCATTGTACTTAATTAAAACCCCTAATCCATATTATGGTCGACTGGTAAGGTTTAGGCTACCAAGTTTGACTGATTTCTTCTTCTTCTTCTTGTTCTGCTCTTTCTCCTTCAGTCTCTTCTGGTTCGAACTGTTGAAGCTACTGAACAAACATGGTATCAGAGCAGGACGTTGCTCTCTAAGTCTGCTCCTCTCTGATCTGACTCTTCTATTTTTTTTCTGGATTGAAAATGGAGAACACAGACTCGACCTAGGTCTGAGAACACTTCGGTCCTTCTTCCTCTGCTCAGAACTTGATTGTTTTTCAAGAAAATAACTTCAGAATTAAGATGATGGTCGACTGAAGCTCTCCATCGAGGTTGGTTATTTTTTTTTCTGTGCTGTTGGTATTTCTAGGTTGAAAACCTTCAAAATCTGCTCGGACTGATCAGAATCTAAAGAACTAGGTTGTTTGTAGCCTTGGTTCTTGGCAAAAAGTCCAAGGACAGGCTGTGTTTACAGTGACCGAATGGTGGGTGAAACTGATACACATATCAGTCATATTCTTTTGTTTTCTTGCTCGCATGTGTGCTGAAAGAAGAGTAGTAGACTGCTGAGGTCCACGACAGCAATGGTGTGGTGTTGGTTGTGTTGTGGTGACTGACATATCCATGATTCTAAATGCTTAAAAGTGAACCCCTAGACCTTGTGTGTAATCAGTTCTGCAGTATGAAGAACAAGTTTTCGATGAAATGACTGAGTAATTTCAGCAGTGGTATGTTGATGGTAAATGGTTCTGCAGTGTGCAGTCCAAGTGTTTGATGTGTTGACTGAATGATTTCAGCTTTAGAGTGTAGTCTGTAATGTGCAGTTGA